ACGTCTAAGTATGTGTGGAAATCCGGTCGAAAACTCATTATTGTCTTCGCTGCCGTCTTCGCTCCCGCTCTCCTGCGGTTGCCACTGGGGTCTTCGGTGGGCCGCCAAACGTGCGAATATTGTCCCGAAGTGGGCGGCGGGGGCGCATGTGGGCACCGCCACTGGGGCTTCCGGTGGGGTGCCCTATGGGGCCACGGAGCAGCGCGTGCGAGGTGCGCCAAACTGGGCGGCGCGGACGCATGCGGGCTGCGCCACTGGGACCTGTGGAGCTCCCTATGGGGCGACGAAGCGTGCGAGGGGTGTGCCAAACTGAATGTTGGGGACGAACGCGGGCTGCGCCGCTGGGGCCTTCGGTGGAACTCCCTACGGGGCCACGACGCGTGTGAGGGGTGTGCCGACATGGGTGGCGGGGACGCACGCGGGCTGCGCAACCGGGATCTTCGCGGAGCTCCTCTGTGGCTACGAAGCGCGCCAGGGGTGCGCCGACATGGGTGGCGGGGGCGCATGCGGGCAACGCCGCTGGGTCCTTCGGCGGAGCTCCTCGGGGGCCACGTAGCGTGCGAGGGGTGCGCCGACATGTGCGGCGGGGACGCACGCGGGCTGCGCCGCTGGAGCCTTCGGTGGAGCTCCGCGCGGGGCCGCGGCGCATGTGAAAAGTGCGCCGAACCTGGAATGGCGGGGGCGCATGCGGGCTGCGCCGCTCGGACACTCAGTGGAACTCCTGCGGGGGCCACAGAGCGGGAGAGGGGCGCGTGGAAATGGGTGGCGGGGGCGCGTGCGGGCCGCGCCGCTGGGGCCTTCGGCGGGGCTCCAATTGGGCCGTGAAGCGTGCGAGGGTATATCACGATGGGCGGCGGGGGCGCATGCGGGCTGCGCCGCCGAGGCCTTCGGCGAAGAGCATATGGGGCCGCGAACCGCGTGATGGGGCGCGCCGCGATGGGCGGCGGGGGCGCGCGCGGGCCTCGCCGCCGGGACCTTCGGCGGCGCTCTGGGGCCACGAAACGCGCGGAGGGCGCGCCGAGACAGGTGGTCTGCGCCGCCGGGGCCCTCGGCGGCGCCCCCCGTGACACATGGGGCCGCGAAGCGCGTGGGGGGCGCGCCGAAATCGACGGCGAAGTCGCGCGCGGATTGCGCCAGGCGGGCCCGGTTGAGCTCCACAGGGGACCGCGAAACGCGCGAGGGGCGCACCGGAACACGGACGCGCGGAGCGAGGGGGCGCGGGCGGTAGGTGGGAGGGGGAGGGGGGGGGAATGACTAGGAAGGAAAGCGGTGCGCTGTTTCTTCGGAGCGAGGACCAACAGCACAATATGGTCGAAACAAACGCGGGTCAAATACCGGCGCGGAACATGCCCATGGGCCGCGCGACCAACCGTCGGCGACCGAAAGCGGCCGGGTGGAATCTTTCAGATCCGCGCGCGCCCGGGAACTCGATGGTGGAATGGAGCGGGGGGGCGCGCCTGAGGACATCTGCGAAAGGTTCTTTCGCGGCGAAGGTGGGGCGAACCGCTTCTCTCGCCCGACGCCCACGATTGGGGCCCCCCGGCGTTTGACCCTCTCGCGCGGGGCAGGGCCCGTCCTCAGGACGCGCGCATCAATGGCCGCTGCGTCGCACCCTGCGGCCAGGGCGCGACGCGCGTTGCCACCGCCGAGGCCGCGGCCTTCTACCGCGTCCTCCGGCGGAGGTTGAAGTCGGCGCACCGCGCCCTTAACTGCGCCCGCGCGGGCGCGCTGGTGCGCGGCGGCTCCGTCGCGTCAAAATTAGCCTCGGTAGCGGGCATGGCCGTCGCGCCCTTACTGCGGCGCCCGTGCGCCCGCTGCTCTGCACGGGGGGCGGCGCCGCGGCTGGCTGCGCCGGCCGCGGGCCCCGGCCCCCCCCCAATTGAACGGCGCCCCCCGTCGTTGAATCGCGCTATCTTCCGACCGTCAGCACTCGCCCTTGCAATCCATTCTGTCTGGGTTGTAGCGCCACTGGTCGCGACGTCGTTTGCTGCTCTGGTTCGCAGGGCACGGGGCGGCGGGGCTCGCCGGGGTCGCTGGTTGCTCTGCGCATTCCCCTCGCACTGGCGCCCCCGGTCGTTAGCGCCGAGTGCGCGCGCGTCGGTGAAGAAGGCGATCCCCTCCCAGGAGCGCCGATATGCCCTTCTGTGGCGCGTTGGATTTGGGCGCCATCTCCCCGCTGGCGGCGACGCCGTCGTCTCTGTGGTTCTCGGCGATGGCGCGTCGATGTCGATAGAGATGACCTCGTCGGCGGGGCGCCCCTGGCGCGCAGATCTCGGCGCCCGGGAGTCCGGCGCAAGGCAGTCCCCCGCGCCGCTGCCAAGTTGCCCGCGCCGATGGCGCACAAGGTGGCGCTCCAATAAAAATCCTGGCCGGAATCAACGGGTAAAATTGACGCTGCCCCTCTGCAGCTCGACGCGGTGCCGCTGCCCTCAACGCGTCTGAGTCCCGGGCGGCCCGGCCTCGTAGTGGCTGGGCTGGCTGGGCCCCCGTCTGCGTCAACCCCCCCCGGGGCGGATGGCCGCCAGGTGGCGCGAGCGCGCGCGGCGCCTCGTCGACGGCGGGCATCGACGCGTAGAGGGCCCCCCTGTTCGCGTCGACCACCCCCGCGTCGCTCAAGCGCCAGCGCGCTGGTCCAGCAACGAAGCGCGCGCAATGGCGCCGATGTTCCATCCCTCCTCGGCGCCTTGTCCGCGCGTCTTCTGCCAGTTCCTCCAGTCCGACTCCTTCTGTTGGTAGATCTGCATTTCGCGTCGGCATGCCTCGCGCTGCCCCGCCGCGCCCATTTCCGCGCGCTAGATCCCGAGTTGCAGTTGCCCTTCAACGCGTAGTGCAGCGTGGCGCGCTTGCAGCCCACGCGCGTGCATGTCTGGCCCCTGGCGAGGCGCTCGATGTCCGCGACTCTTCATTGGTTATCCTCGCGGGCGCCGCAGATCATCGCCTCCGCGCGCATGTCCTGGGCGCGTAGCTCGTTCTGGGCACGCGGGCGCCTGTCGCCTGCATCTCCCCATCTGCGTTCGGGGGGGGGGGGGGGGGGGGGCGCGGTCGATGTATTCATCGCTTTCCTTGATCCACGCCTCGGAATCTGGTGCTTCAGCGATGGCGATGTGCTGCTCGGCCGCGCTGATCAGGTTGAAATATGATTGCCTCTCGTTGGCCAGCCGTTCGGCATCTTGTAATTCCAATTGCATTGCGGCTGGGTCGTTGCTGCTGTAGATGAACTTGGTTCGCGCGGTCCTGGGCGCGCTCCGTCACTGCTCGATCTCAGCGTTGTCGCGATGTTCTGGTCCACTGTGGTAGCCCTGATTGGCCCAGGCTTGACCTCCCTCCTCGTGAGGTCTGCAATGTTCCTGGTCTCTCAGTATTCGCCATGTGCGGCCAGCTTCTCGTTCGTCCTTATCGCGGCGCCAGCCTCGTTCTCCTGCTCGTTCCTTGCAGTGGCGGGCTTGGCCCGCTTCCTAACGTTGTTGTTCACGGTGCCCCCGTGCGTTTTCTTCTGCCGTCCGCAGGTGCTTCCTTCCAAAGGGCATGGATCTTAATGTTGGCGTCGCGCGTATCCTTCTTGATGTCGCGGTCCAGTCGCTGGCTGTTTCATCTCATGGTCTTGAATAGCATGCCGACGTCGCGGCCCAGCGCTCTCCTCCGCTCATAATTGTCATCCAGGAGGTGGTGAACGCGCCCATCTTTGTGGCGCGCCCCACTGCGGTTCATTGGCATCGTCATCGTCGGCGCCTGCGTCGCTGTAGATGTCTCCCCTGGCACTGCTGATTCGGCGCTGCCGCGTCGGGCTCGTCGATGTTGTCTTCCAACGCGTTCATGTCTTTCTCTGCCAGACTCTGGCGCGCCGTGGCGTGCTCATAGTAGTCTTCCATGGCCGTCGGTGTCGTCAGTATTCCTGGCCTGCTGGGCGAAAAGCACGATGGACGATTGCAAATGTAGTATGGGGTCCTGGAGAGCGGTTGTCCTGCATTCGTCTCTGAACTTGGGTCTTTGGGTGGTGATTCCCAGTCCGGCCTTCGGGCCGCGTAGACTTTCCGCATCGGCGCGGCGTTGTTGATCGCGTTGGCGATGTGGTCGTTGTATTCCTGGGTGGTGTCCTTCTGTTTGGGCGCGCTGCATCGTTCAGGTTGTGCCTCGCCCGTCCCGTTGCCTTTGTTGTGTTTGCGCTTGCCTCTGGTTGCGGTTGTCAAAGCTCGGCGTCGTCGTCGTCGTAAGGTTCAGGGAAGCCTCTCTCACCCGTGCTGTTGTTACACGTTGTGCTGTAGCCGTGGTTCCGGTAGGGGTCGGTGTGGTCATTGGCCCAGTGAGCCGCCCACTTGTTATTCTTCAAACGTTCGAGGCCTATCGGTGGAATGTGGCTGTGTGTCGGCCCCCTGCTCGGAGTGCGACTCGAGGTTGATATCCGGGGGGGCGCAGTTCCTGAGCCACTCGCGGATGATCCCCATGGTGCTGCCACTGTGGGAGCTTGAGGTGGATGTCGTGGTGGTTGCTGTACGATGTGGTGCGCCTGGAGCAGTTGCCCACTTGAGTCGAGCTGGTGATGCGCGTGCTGGTCGAAGAGGTCGCGTACTGATGCTACCCGTAGCAGTTTGCGTGTTGCTGCACGTCGTTCGAATGCTCGACAGTGCCAAGCTGGGCTGGCTGGTGACGTCGTGAACTGGACGTGGTTGCCGTGCAAGTACTGCTGGTGCTGCGTACGATGTAATTGTCGAGGTCGAGGTCATGCCCGTCGTGGCCTGGTGGCCAAACAACTAGCCCTGCCACCTGAACGGTTCTGATAACTGAAATGTGAAAAAAAACAACAAACAATGTAGTAGTGCGGAGGACGTAAGGGATGTAGGAGTGGGGAGGATATCCTGGTAGGCGACCGTTTGGATGGCGCACTGCCGCTGACATGCCTTAGTCTCTCGGCGGTTTGCGGTCTCCTCCTCCTAGTCCTGTTCCTCTTTTCTCGCCCTCTTTCCTCCTTTCCCCTCCTCCTCCTCCCTCCTCCCCGTCCCGTCCTGCACGGTCACGTCGGCGACGTTGTGGCCCGAGGGCGAGGTCGCCGCCTCGGCGCCGCCCACGGGACGTGCCGCGGGGCGAGGGACGGGGAGCAGCAGCGGGAGGATCAGCAGCGGAAAGGGGGTGCTTCAGCCGCAGCAGCGGGAGCAGGGGGAGGCAGGGGGACCAGCAGGGAGGCGGAGGAGGAAGGGACACAAAAGGAAAAGGAACAGTAGCAGCAGGAGACGCAGGAGAATGATGAGGAGCAGCACCGGCAAAACGAGCACGGGAGGGTTCAAGCAAACAGGCACTGTCCAGGATGTTCGAAGTGCGGCATGACTGGCCTGCAAACATGATGACCCTGGCTTCTGAGGAGGATAATCATTAAGCTCGCCAGTGACACTCGTAAGGCTCCAGCGAAGGGGGAGAAGGACGGGGATGAGGGCGGAGGGGAAGGAGGCGCAGGAGGGGGAGGAGAAGGGAAAGGGACCAGGGGGAGGAAATTGAGATGTTCCTCCCCCCATCCGCCCTCATCCGTCCTGCCTCCCACTCCCAGCGAGCCGGCCTGGTTCAACAACGTCCATGACAACACAAACCTCCCGCCCGAAAACACACATCGTATCTATCTGACCCCTCCCGCCCCTCCAAAATCGTCCCCTGGACGTCTGCAGGAAGTTTTGTGGGACAAGACACCGAAGGGAATCCAGCGATGGCAACGAGGGCGCTCCCAAAGGTTTAAGTGTAAAACGCCCAAAACCCAAATTCTCTAACTTCGATCCTTCTCCCTTCCCGCGCTCCCTGGCGAAACGGATCGTGGCGACGAGAAGACTCCCCGAGACAGAAAACGGGCCCATAGCACCAAACCAGTTCGAATCTCGAAGCTTGGTCCACTGCCTCCCCCAGGCCGATGAGAATCAGTCCTTGGATCCACCCTGGCCAGTTGTTCACCCTGGCTTGATTTCTCACGGACCTCGTGCCCGAATCATGCCTCCAGAGGCCAACAAGTGGGAACAACCTCTTCGGCCCTCTGCGGCCACTGCGGGTACTGAAATGGTGAGTCATTCAGCTAGTGCAGAACACACCTGTGGGCACTAGCCCGGTTACCTAGTTCGCGTTGCATCTGGTAATACTCTCCCAGGCAAGGCCCGAGGAGGGGAGACACGACACCTGGCATTGGGATGCTTATCTGTGCTTAAGGATCGTCTCCGTGCCTCCTCCTCATCCTCCTCCTCCCTGCTGTTTGGGGTGCGCCAACAAGGGGGGGCGAGAAAGAGAAAGGGTGAGCGCACGATGGCCCGAGGCATGTGCCTGGACGAGAGGGGGCCAGAGGGCGTGTTGAAAGACGAGTGGGGGCCAGGACATCTGGCAAGTTGCATGGCCTGGCTGGGGCCACGATATCCACACACAGAATTCCGACCCCCCTCTGGGACGCCCTCGCCTCCTCCTCCCATCCATTGGCCAGTGACCACCAGGGCCATGCGTGGAAAGGGCTGTTCCTGGGAAGATGCATCCCCAGAGAACCGACACACTGATTTTCCAACGTACGCCCCAAGGGTCCCGACTTCGTCCACGGGGACAGGCCTACGTCCCGGGTCCATATTTGGTTCAGGGCTGAACCTACACCGCGCTCTTCCTTTCCGTGCTGCTGTTCGCTCTTCCTCGTTTTGCCTTCGCTTCGCCTTGAGTGCAAAACAACACGAGAAACAAAACGGCCCACGAGATGGCCCGAGCACCGTTCAGGTCCAGCCCTGACTCGATTGGCCTGGGGCCCGACTGCGGGCCCCAGACGCCGAACTCGGAAGAAAACAAAACGCTGGGACTTAACAAATACGTCTCGTCGATCCGGGCGGGCGGAGGAGGAGGAGGAGGAGGAAGAGGAGGAGGAGGAAGTGGCGGGGGAGGAGAAGGAGGAGGAGGAGGAGGAGGAGGAGGAGGAGCGCCCGCCCGCCTCAAAAGTCCGCCCCGTCGGCCTCGGGGTGTCGTCGGGCGCTGGCCCTCTCCCGCCATGGCCTTCCAGGACGGCTGAACAAAAAAAACACCATGGGCCTCTTGAGCTCGAGCTCTGGGCGACGCGTTAAGGAGTCCGGCCGGCCAGGTCTGTGGGCGAGGAGGGCTAGCTTCTTGCACTCCGAGAAGTCAGGGCCCTCTTCCCCTTTCATGGAGCCCTTGCAACGCGGAGGCCTCTGGAAGCGTCTGGAGGCCCAGAGCGGTCAGAAAACGCCCAGGAACTTTGATCCTCCCCATCAATCCCTCCTCCCTCCTCCTGCTCCTTCTTTCTGCTCCTCCCTCTCCTCCTCCTCCTGCCCTGGCTCCCCCTCCTCCTCCTCCTTCTTCTCCTCCTCCTCTTCCTCCTTCTTCTCCTCTTCCTCCGCCTCCGCCTCCGCCTCTCCATGCCCCCGAGACATCCGAAGAGATGATGTGTTTATGTTTCAATCCGCGGCCCCATAGCTATCGACTCCCTCCCTCGATCAAACATGGTTGGCCCAGGGCCCGAAATGAACACCAGAGGCGGAAATCCCACCAGCCGTCTGGGAGTTGGTTGTTTCAGGGGTATAATTCAATTCGTTCAATATCCTTCTTCCCCTTCGGGGAGAGGTTTACCCCTCCCCACACTTCCCTGGGTCGCGAGGGAGGGGAGCGCGACGCGGTGGAGCGTCCACGTTGGCCCAAGATGGCCCCAAGACGGCCCAAGGAAGCCCAACATTACTTCCAAGATGGCACGACGTAGCCCAAGATGACTCAAGATACCCTCCCAGATGCCTCCAGGAGGCCTCAATACCCCCCCCCCGCGGCTTCAGGTTGCCACGAAGCCTCCCAAGGAAGCTCCTTCCAGAATGTGGAAAACCCATGACTGTCCCCTACTCTCCTTTTCGATGTCGATCGGCTCCTGAGGCCTCTATATGGTTCCAAGATGCCCCATGAAAGCCCCGAGATGGCCTCAAAAGCGCCCCAAGAGGCGACTAATCAGGCTCAATAAGGGTGGTAGAATCCGAGCCGTCTCCTTCTCTCATCGATGGCGTCGAAGATGGCTCGGAAATGCCACAAGAGGGCCCCTGCAAAGGGGATCCCAAGAGAGCCCCGAAGGCCTCCAAAACTGCATCAAGAGGGCCCAAGAAAGCTGCGAAGAGGCTCCCATAGCGAAAGCTCCACAAAGGCATTCCTGGCTGACTCTTGGCCCTGCGGATTGCTGTTCCCGAACTTCGGCTCGACGGCTGCCATCCCCTCTTTGCTCCGCTGCACGCTCCCACGCGTGACGGGCTGGTGGGGATGCGCGAAGCGTGCGACCTGATGATCCGCCTTAGGAAAGAAGGAAAAACAATTCCGTCAATCCTTCGGATGTGTAAGTCTGGGTGTTCCTCCTCACCCTCTCCCCTCTGCCTGCCTGGCCAGAGCTGGCATTGTCCCCAAAATCAGGCTGAGGTACGCAGAGGATGAGAAGAACAGCAATTAGAGGACGATTAACAACCAGGCAACAAGTCTCCACGACATGCCGCTGACGAATGAGAAACAGAGGACGAGGAGAGGAGCGGGAGGAGGCCGCGGAGAAGGAGGGAGGAACAAAGAGGAGGCGTAGGAGGCGGCGACTGCAGTCTCGTCACTGCCACACGCAAGAACGACCATCATATGAAGCAAGAGTGACCTTTAGCACGCGGCTTTCGGGAGGCGGGGGGGCCAAACACGGGCGCGCGCGCACTCGGCTGCCATCGCACCGCGCTCGGCCATCGGGGGATCTCAGTGGGCCCCTGCCAAAAGTCACTCTGGCGAAGGGTCACCCTTGCGCGCATTCGAGGGACGACCAGCTGCAGTCGGGCCCGATTGCAGAGGACGCCCAAAGGGACACTATACTGTTCCGAATGCAACTCTGCCTCCAGACATGACAGCGCCACGCCACGCCGCGCCACAGACAGGACACAAGCGTACATCTACATCAACCCAGCAGGAGGAGAAGGAGGAGGATGAGGAGAAGATGGAGACTGAGGAGGAGGAGGAGGAGGAGAAGGAGGAGGAGGAGGAGGAGGAGGCGGAGGGAGGAGGAGGAGTTGCACGGAGAGCCGCCGGAAAGGTGGGGCCTGCTCCTCCGCCGCGGGTGCGCGCACGCAGAGCTGCAGCCGAGCGCCGACAGCGGCGGAGCCCGAGCCCTCGAGGAGCGGCGCCTCGCCCTGGAAGCCGCCTGCCGCGCCCCCGTCGCCGCTGCCGACGACGACAGCGACGAAGCCGCCGCCGCCGCCGACGACGACGACGACGACGACGACGACGCCGACGACGACGACGCCGATGAAGACGGCCACGACCACGAAGCCGTCGCCGCCCCCTCCTCCTCCTCCTCCTCCTCCTCCTCCTCCTCCTCCTTCTCCTTTCGACCCGCGATAAGCCTTCTCCTCCTCGCCCCCCTCCTCCCCATCTGTTTCTCCTTCCCACCTCGCCCTGGAAGCCGCCTGCCCCCCCCCCCCCCTCCCCGGCCCGCCGCCGCCTTCGCCGTCGCCGGGGCCGCCGCCGCCGGGGAGAGAGACTGAAGGTCTGGGGGCCACGGATGGAAACGCACACGAAGAACATCGTCCCGTCGAGTGTCTCCCCAATTCAGAGCCTACCCCAGAACGACCGCAATGAAGGGGCCCCAGGACACACAAATAAATACACACAAATAAAAATATTCCCCATGTGTTCCAATATATTTGGGGTTTCTGTCTTCCCCTCCATTTCATTTTTGGGGCGGATCGACGATTAATTGTGTCTGTATGTGTTTTTCCCCTCCTGACCCAACCATACACTCGAACATGCCAGCATCCACGGCTCGAGGCCCGTCGTGGCAGCGGCTGTGGCGAAGGTTGCGGCCAGGGCTCGGGGCGGGGCCCTGCCATGCCTTGGGGCTCGGAGCCCGAAGTCGGCCCCTCCGATCCCTGCCACGCAGCCTGCGCTGGCCAACGGAGCGCCGAGCCCCAGAAGCCACCAGTCCTGCGCTGCAGGGGAGCTGCCCACGTGGCCACCGAGACGCCCACGGCCCCTTCCAAACTATACTCCACAACAGCCTCTCAGACCTCGCAGCATCATCGTTTCTGCAGGCATTCCATTCGCACAGACATGATTGAAGGGGCCATGGGACACACACACACATAAATAGACGCAAATAACAGGATTCCCCATATTTCCCCTAATTTTGGGAGGTTTTGTCTTCCCCCCACTTCCCATAGTTTCCCATATTTCCTGGGCATCGACGATTAATTGTGTCTGTGTGTTTTTTTCCCTCCTGAATGATGCTTCCCCGAGCGTCCCAACCTGCACGGCGGGAAAGGGCTGTCAGACTGGCCCTGGCCCGGAGAAGAAGTAGCCGGGAGTCAGAGGTCGGGCCAGCCCCCTGCAAGCGGGCACTCGGACAGCCACGGCATGCTTTCGACTTCGGCACCTATGGGTTGTGGCCACTGGGGTGTATCAGATTGCGGATGGTCGGGTCTGCCGGGTGCCCGAATGTAATGAAGGATCGCCCCCAGGTGCGAAGATGCACGCGCAGCGACCAGGGCGTTGACGAAGACCAACTGGACGAAGTCGGAGCAGCACGACAATGCGAATGGTAACGATGATAGGGAGGGGACGGAGAGGTGAGGGTGCAGGAGGATGGGGGACAGCTTGAGAGGAAGAAGCAACAGAGGAGGCGAAACAGCAGCACCAGGATGAGTCAGAGTCACACTTGAAAGAACAAATCGCTTATCAGAGAGTCGGAGTCGGCCTTGCAAGAGTCGCACTGACACGACCGACCTTCGATACAGTCACACATCTGTAACTACTGATGGGGCTGCCTGTGGCGAACGCCCGACCCATGCACAAACGCAGCGCAGGCTTCGCCTGAAACTGGTGTTTCCGCTGACGCACGGCGCACATGTTCGTTGGCCCGATCGTCAAAACCCAAACCGCGCACGATCGGGCAAAAAGACGCTCTCGCCAAAGCGCCAGGCATATTTCCTCTGAAAGTGGCGCTCCAACTCCCGCGCGGCGCATGGTTTGCCTTCGGCTGTCCTGTCAGAAGTTTTGACCGCGCCGGAGAGGGATGAATGGTGCTCTCGCCAAAGCACAGCGCGAGTTCTAATGGCCTTGGGGGGACAAATAATAACAGATACCACTACTCCCCAAACCTCTCTCGGGTCGCGTTCTGACGACTTCGAATCGACTCCAACAATGCAGATGTCTTCCTCCCGTGAGTCGGCGGCGAGCCTGGGGGGGAAGTGAGAAGGAGCGAACCTTCTCAGAAGGCTCGGAAGTCCCCCGGCCTTCCAAGAAGTTTTCTAAGCCTTCCCCGAAGACACTGAAAACTTCTCAGAGGGCGCGAGGGGTTCTGAGAAGTCTCGACGCACTCTGAGAAGGCCTTCTCCTTCTCACTTCACCCCCTCCCGCTCGCAGCCGAGTCGGGGATCTTCTGACCCGGGTCAATGCAGACAGGGGTCAGTCAAGCCTTACAAGATCATGCACCCAAACCCGGGTTAGTGCGACCCTGTCCCTGCAGGATCCTGCAAGATCTGGCGCTCTGGCTGACCCCCGTTTGCATTGACCCCCGTCTCAAGGCTCCCGACCGAGCGAGGCTCTGCTCACGCTGGTGCCCGCCCCACGACAGGGCTGAACCCAAACGGCGTGTTTGGTTTTCGTCTTGTTCTCGTTTTCCCTCGTCTTGTCTTCAACCCACCCCTACCGCAAAACCAGGTTGTAACGAAAACGGCCCACGAAATCGCAAAAACACCGTTTACAGTCGGACTTGATTGGAGAGGACACGCGAGAGGACACAAGACCCTTCCGGGGGCCGCGTTGCCACAGAAGTGCAGGAGGCATGGGTCGCAAGACACAGGGCACGAGGGTACCCTTGATCTGGCAGGGTCGACCTACTTATCCGGGCCGCCTGTACAGTGAAACGTATAGTAAGGACGCGCGGCAAGGACGCAAGACCCTTGGAGGCCGAAGTTGAAGTATTCTGGGCGGCAGGCGGCCAAACCCCCAGGGAACCTGAGAAACGGGCCTGGGAAAATTGCTCGGAACGGGCCGCAGAGGCCGAGGCAGGCAAGGACCCAAGGGTGCCCATGAAAAAGTCGTCTGTCCTTACTATGCGCGTTGACTGTAGGTCCATCCCTGCCCCGGCGGACATCGGCAGGCCAGTAGGCCTCCATGGAGGAATCGGCATCCACATCGGAATCCGAAGTCGAGTCGAATCGGAATCGGAAGCCATCGAAATCGAATCGAATCGATTCGGAGGAATCGAAATGAGCCCTGCACAGGACACGAGGGCACCCTTGATCTGGCAGGGTCGACCTACTTCTCCGGGCCGCCTGTAGGTCCATCCCTGCCCACACGACTGCCCTTTAGGAGGGCCCCAACCATACACCAACACCGATCCTGGCCAGGGTCACCCTGGGCCCAGGATCGGTGTATACGCCCTCCTGCCTTGGGCAAGAAGGCATATACACCGATTCTGGGCCCAGGGTGATCCTGGCCAGGATCGGTGTAGGTGTATGGTTGGTGCCCTCCGACCCTTCGCCGAGCCGCCGGAGGCGGGGCCTCCCGCGCGCGGGGCGCCTCCCGCTCGCCAGGCAATGAGGAGGCGCGCACGCGCCAGGGCCCTCCGCCGGCGGAGCGCGCAGCGCCCCCGGGCCGACGCGGAGGCAGCGCCGACGAGCAGCGAGGACCACCGTGGAGGGCCTGCCTTCCACCGCCACCGCCAGAAGTTGGAGGGGGAGGGGGAGGAGGAGGAGGAGGAGGAGGAGGGGGAGGAGGAGGAGGAGGAGGAGGACGAGGAGGAGGAGGAGGAGGAGGAGGAGGAGGATGACCCCCTCCCCCTCCAACTTATGGTGGTGGTGGTGGTGGAAAGAAGGCCCATCACCGCCTTCACCCACCTCCCCTCCATCCTCTCTTGGGATATTTTTGGAGCCGTGTGCGGGCACAGAAGCATAAACGGGGTACTGCTGCGAGCGGCCATGCTCTCGCACAGCACCCTTCCAAACGTCGGGTCTGATGTCGGCGATTCGACTCCACTGCAGCCCGGCGCAACTTCGTAGACAGGCAAACTTCATGGAAAACAGACTGATTCAGGGAAACTTCGTAGACCCCCGAATTGGGGAAGACAGGAAAACTTCAGACACAGAGACGCGAACTTCCGGAGGTTCGCGCCGATTTCTTGGATCGGCGCTGGGCACCCCCGGCGGCGCCTCCAGCGCCCTCTCTGGCAAGCTTGGCGCGCCATGGCGGAGCGTCCGGCGCCCATCCAAGAGGGGAGGGGGCCCAGCGCCAGGGACAGGGGCCCAGCGCCGACCCAGGAAATCCCCGGAGCGCGAACGAAGGCTTGTGTGCTTCTGCAGTTTTCTCCTCCTCCTCCTCCTCCTCCAGGAGGAGGAGGAGGAGGAGTCCTCCTCCTCCAGGATGTGAAGGGAGGGAGGAGGAGTCCTCCTCCCTCCCTTCACATCCTGTGCCTCCCCTCTCCCTCTTTCCCACAGCCTGGGTAGAAGCTTGAGCTCTGCAGAGTGGCGACCCCCACGGTGCTCGGCTCGTGGTTGCCTGCGCCGCCGTCCTGCGGGTGGGGGCGGGGGAGGGGGAGCGCATCGGCGACGGGGCCGGTCGTGTCACAGACACGCGCTCCCTCGCGCGCCTGCCAACGTTTGCGCGCTCGCGGCGGCAGTGGGGAGGAATGACGTCGGGGCCCGACTGCCCGCCACCACCACCGCTGCAAGTGGGCAGGAACGGACGGCGCCCACACCTCGCGATCCCGAACGCGCAATTGCACCTGGCGCGCGTTGCACCCGTCGAGGCCTGGAAGTCGCACGCCTCCTGCCTGTGTCTCGCATCGGCGGCGGGCCGGGGGGGGGGGGGGGGGAGAGAAAGGGCGAGCCGTCTCAGAAGGCTCGGAAGTCCCCCGGCCTTCTGCGAGGCTTGTCAAGCCTTCAAGCTGTAGACGTAGAAGGATTCTCAGAGGGCGCGAGGGCCTCTGAGAAGCCCCGCCGCCTTCCGAGAAGGCCTCCTCCTTCTCCTGTCCCTCCCTCGCTCGCGGCCGAGAGCAGTTCTGGAGTGCGAAAGGTCGGACCACAGTGATGACACCTCGCTCGCGGCCGAGAGCAGTTCTGGAGTGCGAAAGGTCGGACCACAGTGATGACACCACCGACGGCCTGCGCCTGGCAGGCGAGAGACCTCCGTCCTACACAGGGGCTGCTAGCGTCGGCAAGCACGCCACCGACCTCCCGGACCCGCTCGTCGGTCTTGCTGGGCCTGGCCCCGTGCCAGAGGCGAAGAGCTGAACCTCAGGCCTTGCCGGCACACGTCAATCTCTACGGGTACATGGGGATGTGGTGGGCTGCGAACCCACCGGCTACTCCGAATCCCTTGCTAATCGTCCCCCGGATTCGGTTTTGTAAGGCGCCTTTTTTGTAATTGGGGGGGTCCGGTTTATCAGGGCGCTTTCTGTAGATCGGAGCTCAAGGGGTCCGGTTTAGTAAAGCGCCCCGTCGCAGAGGGAGGTCTGGAATGTTAGGTCGCATTTGGAGGGGTGTCAGATTTTTTAGGGGGGGGTCGATTCAGAAGGGATTTGGAGCACACGTGCGAAGATGCCGATCCTCTTCTGGGCGGTGCCCGTGCCCAGAGAACAAAAAGGAGGCAAAGAAAGCGGCGCGACTGCTCGGTCTGCGAGGAGGCAAAGCAGGCTGCTGACCTCACACGACAGGCTTCACGGGTGACGACGGCGCCCACCAGCGTCACTACGAAAATAGCCCGGACGTGACGGTGCCGATGGGGAAGGACCGACCACGACGACGAGCTCCACGACAACAGCAGCAGCAACAGGAGCCTCCTGCTCCGAAGAAGCTCCGCAGCATGCCGACACGGCTGCGCCAGCACGAGCTCTCTGTCTCCGAGGCCACGGTGCGCATGCACCTCCAGGAGCTGCTGGACTCATCAACCTCGACTTCATCTCCGACTGCTCCTGCTGGGGCAAAGCAGGCCGAGAAACAACTTGCGCTTCTGCCACAACCATGGGGCCAAGCTCCGATTGTGAAGGCGGCAGCGCTGAAGAGTACTACTTTGGAACAACCGACAGTGATCAATTGCCAATCGGCAACGGAATACAACACAGCACGCAATTGGTTGGGATCATTGGCTGGGGTGCCCGATGGTATCACCTTTGTAGTGTTCAATACTTCTCAATTCCTCCCTGGTGGTACGGCGACTGAGGTGACGGTGGATTATCAGTAAGGATCCCGTCCAGCCTGGGCACAGCTCATCCTACAGGGCCCTCAAGCTCCACAACGAGTCGGACATCCATCGGGAGTGAAGGACGAAACCGAGTTCGCAACAAGGCTCACGCTGGCAACGGCTAGCATCCGAGTCACAGTGGCGGAGCATTTCGCCGACGACGCTCTCTATTCTGCTCTAATGGAGAAACCAATGGCGATTGGGACCGCCCTCTTCTCCGAGGAACTCACCTCCCGTGTGCTCAAGACGAAGGGTGCAGTATCCTGCTCTACAGAGGTGATGGCGATCTTGATACTTCGTGAAGCGGATCTCAAGCTCTTCTTGGACTGGAACGTCCGCCAAGCATCTTCGTCAACATCCAAAACTCCAATATCGTGCCCGTCTGGCACAAACTACGCGACAATGAGACCCACAGCCAATACTTCTCCTGTGTGATGACGGTTGCGGCGGGCGTGGGTGGACGGTTCGTATATCGACCATCGGACAATGCTTCGCTGGGTGTCCTCTCGGATAAGACGGTCCAAGCAGGTATATTACGACGTTGTGTACCCCAGAAGTGTCCCGACCACTGTGCGCTACCATCGGAGGTGGAGAAATGGGCCAGCGACCGCGGCTTCACAAACATTACGGCGGTCACCAGATCTACGAAACGCACCTGGTTCAAGAGAGCTGACCTGGCGGGCGCTCCCAAGGACCAGATCTGCACCTTCAAGAGCGGCATCGTGGCCTCACTGGCCCCACCGCGCCGAAACGCCCAACCTACACCTCAGGTACGTGGCACGACGGCGTGGGGTACTCCAGCAATGGCAAGACCTGCGTTACCAGCACCACGAGCGCCACAACCGGTGGCAGCACAAGACGAAGACGAGGAGATGCCTCCGCAACAACGGGCATCACGTCCTCGCATTGCTCCAGCAGACGGTACTACAGAGGAACCTGCAGCACCGACTCAAGCAACACCAGCGCCAGCAGCAAACGCCAACACAGTAGGAGGAACACTTCACGGAGCAAGAATGCGGAGGCGATGGCGACTGCATCTTCCGCGTCGCCACTCGAGACATGCGTGCCCTTACTACGAATTCAAAGCCATGCCAGCCGATGGACCTCCTGTCTGGGGGCCGACAGCAGGCGGCACTTCGCCAGCTGGTCTCGGCCGAGATCCTCAACGGGAAGCGGAATTACAACCAGAAGGATGGCGAGAACACAGACGTGAAGGGTACCCGGGCTACTTCTACCATGCTACGTGCCGCCGCCGCGGCGGCCAAGACGCAATGTTGCATCTGGAAGCGCTCCACTGCTTGGGCCTAGCAGATGTATGTGGCACCGACGGGACTTTCCACGAGCAAGACGGTGTACATGACAAGAACGGCCACTACATGCTCCTCGCGCCGACAGCCACACCACTACATTCAGATACGATGAAGGTTTGGATGGTTTCTGCATACCCATGTCCGACGCGCATCACTGGTGGAGGGGCCAAGTCAAGCTACTCACCCAGTATATCCTCGCGCAGGGCGCGGAGCCTACTTGGCCTCAGCCCGGCTTCAATTGCGAAGGCCAGGAGCGCTCTTGGCATCAGTCCTGCTTCGAAGCCTCGCAGCAAGCGATCAGCTGGGACCATCGCAAAGGCCAGGAGCACCCTCGGTCTCTCGGTGGTGCAGGATGTGGACGCGGCCGCGCAAACTTGCCAAATTCGTAGGGGACGACATGGAGGAGGGCCGACCTGTCAAGCCAGAGCGGCTCGCGTACTACAATTGCCCTACGGATGGTTGTGGTTGGAAGCCGAGCCCCGACTGCACACCTTGCAAGATACTGTATGCTGCTCGTGCCCACTGTCGCAAATGCTGGGGTGAACTTCCTCCTAAGGAACCGCCTGAGTCGAGAAGAGCTCGACTTCGGAGTGGTGAATATCAGGAGTGCCTTGACCGCTGCAAAGGTTTGAAAGCATGGCGACATCATCGAGCATGGAGGGCCTGCTTGTCATAGAAGGCGCGCTCTTTGTCTTGCGATCCCCATGAAGACCTGGCAACTACGCTACAGGAAAAACGTGCTGTCTCCAGGAAGGTCACGAAGTATTCATGCGGCCGCTGCGGAAGAGTGAATGAACTTCATCGCTTCCAACCTCGGGGTACACTAATGCCGCGTAAGAATCCCACGACACCACGGGGGAACATCACAGTCTACGACTACAACGTGCTGGTTGCTGGCAAGGAGCTAGCAGACACATGGTACGACAACAGCCGACGTGCGAGCCGCCGCAGGTACCTCAAGCCGAAGGCCATCCTGGGCAGGGCACCTCTACGTGCTGTACGAAGGCGGCCTGCGGCCGCATCTTCATCGAAAAGGGATCCGCCCCTGGGGGGGAGCTCCCAGGAACAGGAGAAGAGACGCATTGCTTCTCCAAGGACGGCGACAAGATCTACACGAGCTCGTCCGACTCTAAAAACGACGGCTTCAAAGCAAGCACGGCCGAGGTCGATGCCGACCTCGTCATCAACTACATCAAAGAAGGCCAGGATGACGACAACATCAACTGGAGGGGCTTCGTCTCCTTCACGCTCTTCCCCTCCTGCCGTTTGGGCAGATCCTTCCATATCAGCTCGTGCTGAACGCGAAGTGCATGAACTTTCTCCTCATGTGTCACAAGATACTGGCGTCCCCGGCGCATCCACTTCACGAGCTCCGCTAGTTTCACATTCCTCCGTCAGGACTCGTGCTGACGAGTCAGCGCCTGAGAGGCAGAAGGACCCCGAGGGGGTGCGGGCTTCACTGCCTGACGACCGCCACGACGAGCCACCAGACCTCCGGTTCCCCAGAGTGGCCCCGATCAGAGTCACAGGCCTCACCAGAGCCCGACTGGAAGAGGTCCTTGAAAGTACTGACCCACTCGCCATCGCTCGGACGTCCATTCCCTGTGTTTTTGTTTGGTTTCGTGTGGTTTTTTTTTTCGCCAAGTGATCAAGGATGCTCCTCGATTGTCCTCGCCGAAGGAAAAATGCACACGTCCGAGCGATGCCAAGCCCATCGGAGGGCATCCTCTGCATACAGGAGATTCGGATGTCCGACTTGCGCGCCTCCCGCCCGCCCGGCCCCACCTCCGGCGGCAGGCATGCCGCGCGCCGAGGTGGCTCGGCTATCCTCTGGCGCCGTTCGCGCGGCCGCCTCACGAGCCTACGGGATGATGATCGTCGTCGCCGTAATCGAATCGTCTGGCTTCGGATTACGAAATGCACAATGTTCTCGGCCTATGGGACCAACAGCTACGACCGACATTGGTGGTCAGATTCCTTGGACGGGTTCCAGAATACTGGTCCCCTGGGCCACCCTACT